ACATGGGGCAGGGCAAGCTGGGAAACGGGGGCTGTTGCACTTGCATAGGAACCAAGGGCACGGGAGGGAGAGGGGTGCACAAATAGCCCCCTGAGAAGAACAGAAAGTCCCCCACCAAAGGGCAGGTGGGTGGCACCAAGAGAGATCAACAAGCCCAGCTGGGTGTCTGTGAAAGGCAGAGGTGGAAACCCAACTTCAAGGCACGGCTCTGCCACACACACGGCTCAGGCCAAGATCCTGCTGAACTCCTTTCTCGATTTTCCCATCTGTGAAAGGGGGATAATCCTGGGGCCCTGCCCACCTCCCAGGCTGATAAAGACTGGACTGGAGATGGCGTGGGGTCCTGGCTTTGCTATCTGCAGGCTGCAGGAACGTGGACGAACCACCTGACCCTGAATCTGAGTTTCCCACCACACAGAAGAGGCTGATGCCAGTGCAGGCCTCCAGGGCTCCGTTTCTTGACCTGTGCTCACAGTGGATCCTGAAAGCAGTTTGGTGAGTCATGACCTTTCCAAACATTGAAATAGAATAGAAAATATCCGAGTACGATACACTTAGTAAGGTTTTGTATGAGTTCTGGGAACTTTTGCTTCAGTTTTATGGGATGTTTATACATGTGTGTCCTGGGTCATAGCATATAATATAGTTTTTACTATGGGTTGTAGCAAGCAGTTTCAGAAATCCTGTCTTAACAGATATAATGAGATCATGTAGGCAAATGCTAACTTAGTTCCCCCAGCATTTCATAAACTCTCAAAAAATGTTACTTCTTATTTCTGCCAGAGGTGATAACGCTGATTCACCAGCACCTTGTCACACGGGTCCTTAAAAAGCAAGCCCAGCAGAAGAGGGTCTTGAGCCAGCGGGATTACTCTTAGGTGCTAAGCTTTCCCAGGATTCAGGGGCGAGGACCCCAGAGTACAGAGCTGGGGAGGGGGCTGGCCCCCCCCAACCAAGGGGTCCCAGGACAGCTGACACATCTCCCCTGACAGTCTGCTAATGAAGTAAGTAGGAAGTTCAAGGCAGCACTTGCCAGCCCCAAAGAGCATTTTCCTACCCAAAAAAGGAGCCGCTCTGCTAAGTGTGTTCTTCTGCCAAAGGCTGGCACAGACAACCAAAGTCCATCTTGGTTTGGCACTACGTGTGGTTACTCAGAACAACAGAGAATGTGAGTTCAAACAAAGCCTCACCCTTACCAAAATAAAGCCCAAGAATGGCCTGCAGGGTTGGGCCAGGCTGATAAGGAGTGACTATTACAGGCTTGTCCCCACATCACCCGCTACTCTGGCTGCCTCTCCCTCAGGGCCGCCGACCCCACTCAAGGACAAGGCCAGCCACGGAGGGCCAGGAGGGGTGACTGCAGGGCACTTACTGTGCCTAGGTGCTGCAGGATCCTGGCTCCGGGGCCTGTTTCTGCTGCAGCTCCCCGAGCGCTGTGCACCCTTTTCCAGTGTGAATCCTCACCCCTGGACGCTGGTCTCATGGCTACCCTGCAGCCCACCCTTCCATAACCCTCCCCACGAAGAAGGCCTTTCCAGAGTGGGCTGTGATTTTAGGACAGAATTCTGCATGCTGATGAAGCTGAACTTGCCTCTGCCTAGTTTCTACTGGGCTCTAATTCCTTTCTGGGGCAGGACCTACAACAAAGGACTCACTCATCTGGCGTCTGAGGACTTCAGTAAACGGCTAAGAGACATTTGTTGTGGTAGAGAGCGGGAAGAACAGCACCCCTGGCCTGGTCTGATTCCATTGAAAGATGGGGCCAGGATGATAGCTAATTGCTAAAGTTACATAACTCAGTTCATCTTCACAGGAGCCCTAAGAGGTTGGTACGACCATGAGCCCATTTTCACTGAAGAAAACCGAAGAAAAGAGATTGTAAATGGCCAGAGATCCACGGCTGGTGAACGGCCCTGTGTGGAGGCAGGGCCAAGGTGAATGCTCCTGCTATGCAGATGATGCAGGCCCAGAGCTGCAGCTACCTCTGCGAGTTCTGCAGCTGGAAGGAGCACCCAGTCCTCCCACACTAGCCGGACAGGGCCGCAGCCTGCACTACTGAGCTGTCACGGGGAGCCTCTGCCAAGCCTCAGTGCAGAGCCACAAGCGGAGGACATCCTGTGACCCAGGCAGGGAGGCGATACCTAAGCCCAGCCCCAGAGACATGGACACCACCAAGGGCACACAGAGAGCTGGTTCCCCCAAGCACACCAGGCCAAGGCCTCGTGGCCCAGATGCTTGTGAGGGGGCGACCTGGGATGCTCAGGGCTTTTCTCAGATTCCAGGGAAGGGGGATGTCATCTCCAGAAAGCCTGGAATACACCAAAGGGACCCTCTCGACAACGGGAGACCAACCGCATAATGCCCAGAGGGTCCAGCGCCTCCTCCTCCTCCAAGGATTCCTCAGCATCCTCGCCCTTCAGGCCCTGGATAGGAGGACCCTCTTCCGCCACTTGGTCTTGCTGCTCAAAAAAGTCGAAAGCCTCTTCATCATTCCCGGTCTGGCTGTCTGTGCCGTCCAGGACAGAGGAATCTCTGCTGGTGAGCCCTGCAGCCCCTGGGGATCTGGTACCTGTGGAGGAAGACAGAAAAAATGGGACTCGGTAACCACCCCGGAGCCAGGGGAGGCATCTTGCCACACTGCACCCTCCCATGCCAGGATCTGAGGTCAAGGGCTTCCTGCAGCCTCCTGGGACCAAACTTGTCCCTCCTGGGACCTGAGCAGGAGGGAGAGTCTGGGTGGATAGAAGGTGACCTCCGTTTCGGGGGCAGCCAAGTGCCTGCTGCAGCCCCCCAAGGGCTGAAGGGCACCAAGGAAGCCTGGAGTGAAGTGGTCACCAGTGAGAGCTTCAGAGCAAGACAGGGGCAGCGGTTCCTGAACCCAAGGCCCAGAGCCTGTGTGCACAAGGATGGCCCCACCCTCCTCCTGGGTGAGCCGTGGGATAAACCAGCCAGGGCACAGGGTGATTCAACAAGAACCAGTGCAGCCAGAACCGTTTACAGTCGGAGGCGCGGCAAGGGGCTCTGCAGATGGAGACCTGTTCCAAGAGTCTGGGCACCTGGACTGTGGACTGGATGGGTGCTCAGCGTAAGCATGTGGAAGATTCCAGAACAAACGGTGACCACTCCATTACAAACTGGCTTAGATCAGCGCTTCTCAAAGTGTGGTCTTCAGACAGAGAATGCCCCCTGTGTGACCACAATGAAGTAAGTACAGAAAGCGAGAGTAAGCATCCAGAAACTTCCATAGCATCCTGCCACCATCACAATACCCAAGCATGCTTTTGTATTTGTGAAAGTATCCATCTGTGACAGGCTGGGAATAAAAGAGCTAGCCCTTGTCACAGACAGTTTGAGAAGCTGGGCTCAGACTACTTGTTCTTCTCTATCCAAGTGCTTACTGGGTAGTTTATCTTTAAAACAACTGACTTTTAATAAAATCACATTGTAGGTAAAGAACTTAAGTGTCTGGCATCCAGGATGCACTGAGTGATAATGATGATATTGTATTATGTGATGCTCTGTTATTTTACTCGGACAAATGTGAAAAGGCCATTCAAAATCTCCCAAACCTTCAATTTCATGTCATAAGCATCTTACATTTAAACATCACAAAAGCCCTATGAGAGAGATCCCAACTGTACGTCCATCTTGCAGATGAGCAAAGTGAGGCATAAAGCAGCTTGTTTCTATCCTGCCTCTCCACAAGAGAGGGCCTGGGACATCCTGAGCATCTCTCCCAGCTATGGCTGAACTGGAACCTCTCGGCACAGTCTACCCAGCCCCAGAGATAGGCAAGGAAGGAAGGGTTGTGACCTTGGAAGAAACAAGGGCAAAAGAGAACCCAGACCCGTGCGAGGGGCACCGACATGGCCACGGGACACCTGGGCTGTGCAGCTTGTCCAGTCCTAGGCCTGTGCATTCACCAGTTTTGCTTCTCTTCCCCACCTTTCGCTTTTAAAAATTTGTTTTATTTATGGTCAACTTTCTTTTGAAAACTTCCCTTCTGTCTTGTGGAACTAGGAGATCCACAGTAGCTGGGAAAGAGTTAAGCAGACGGATGTAAAGAGGGGAGAAGTCAAGGGGTGGGAGTCCAGCACCAGCCGTGGTGAGAACCTGCCCTGCCCTGGGGGCATCTGTGAGACCAGGGCCTACTTCACGGGGGTTCTGGGTTGACAAGGCTAACTGAGGAGTGGGGTAAAATGGTAGCCACCATTTACTTTGTGGTTGTCTCTGTTCTAAGCACTTTGCATGTGTTAGCTCAGTAAATTCTCTTAATGACCTGTCAGCCCGGCTACTCCCACCTTACAGATGAGAAAACTGCGGAGAGAAGAGAGGGCTGGGACACCCATGGGAAGGGCCTGACGTCTCCACCACTGGGGGCAAGGGTGCTGGATCAATTCCTCAGCCTGGAGCTGTCCCCATGACTCTTTCTGTGGGGGCACAGGTGAGAGGCACATGTCCCCAGGGGCTGGTGACCAGCCTGGCTGTGAGAACACAGCTTTCCCGGGATACTGAAGGTCCCTAGGGCTGGCTGGCAGGAGGCAGAGGGGTGTGTGGGGTGTCTGTCAGGGGGTTGTATGTTGTGCATGGTCGGTTGGGGGGCATCGGGCAAGCTCTAGGAATGGGGCTGGCCAGGAAGGCCATGGATGGGGGTCACACTATGGAGAATGCCCACTGTGTGAGCCCCCACCTGACACCCAGACGTTCAGGCCCTCAAGGGCAGGCCTCCTTCTGCCCACCATCCAGCCAAGGATGTCAGTGAGGCCGCCTGCCTCACCAGCCTGGCTGAAGCCTCCAGGCTGCAGAGGCAGCTGTGGACATGCTCCCACCAGGGCAGGGCAGTGGGGCCTAGTTCTGGGTGGGGGAGACCTGAGGGACATGGGGCAGAGCCTCGGGTACCTAAGAACTCTAGCAGCTCTGGGCTGCCTGCCAACTCGGCATCCTTGGAGACACAGCGCAGGATCTCATTGAACACGGCTCTCCTCTCCCGGATGTCAGACTCCCCAACAAACAGGACCTTCCTGGGAAGTGGGGGGAGGCTGGCTGCTGCATAACGACTGCTCAGTTTCTGGTAAAACTCCTCAATCTCGCTGTACTTTTTGGAGACCTGGAATGAGAGGAGCATGTGGTTTCTTGAGTGAAGAGTGGCAGGGAGTGCTCCTTTCTCACCCCGAACAGGGGTCCCCGAGGCCCGGCAGCCACAGGAAGCATGCCAGGCACGCCCGTCTGCTGCCCCTCCGCCTGTCTCCCGGCCTCAAGCTCCAGTCCCTAACCCTCCTGGCCGATAGATTCAAACATCTTAGTGGCCCAGAGGAAACGTGCAATAACGGTGCCATTCTGGGCACTGTCACAGGTCCAGGTAAAAAGATTCGATACAGGGAGCCCTCCTGGCCTGCAGGTGATCAGGGCCACTGCGTTCATTCCCAGCTTTCTGCGTATCAGGAGGGTGATCTCACCGGCTGGCAGGTCATCTTCCTGCAACGCCGTGAATCACCTGTTCTCAGCACCGACCTCATTCTCCCGTGAACCAGCGCAGCCTTCAGCGGGCCAGCCCACACAAGCAGTGGAGACAGATATTTCCAAGGCTGATTCTCTGCCCCACGTCAGGCAGGACCTTCGCACGCAGGCACCCGAGTGAGACAGGCCAGGACTCTTGCTGTCGTCAGAAGGCGGCCTTGAACACCATCTGACTCAGAGAGGGCAGCACTCAGCTTCCCGTGGGGCCAGCGGGTGACTCCCGCCGCCTCCTCAGCCTCTCCCCACAGCTCCTGGGCAGCTAAGTCTTCGCTCCTCCACTCATGGAGCTCCTGCTGCATGTTTACTCTGTACACGGACACCCCAGCAGGCTCTCGGCCTCACAGTGGTTTCAGTCCATCACCATGTCTGTAACCCTGTGGGTGCTCAGCAAAGTCACCTGCTGTATACACACACCATCGGTCTGGCACCTACCCTCACTCCTAGCTCCTCTGTACTTTCCCCATAGACTGGGCCTGTCTACCCCGACTGAAGTGTGGATCACTCATTCTTATGCTCCCAGGCCCGGGCTGTGCCCACGGTGTGCCACTGGAGTGCTGGCATGCAGGGGCTGTGGGCATCTGACGCCCTCTGGCTCGCGGGGATCCCTTGGTGCAGGGTGTGTCTGGAGCACACCCCTTGGCTCCAGCAACACCACCCAGAATGCCCAGCCTGCAAAGGGTCAAGATACCAGGAGGCAGCTGAGGGGACTTCAGAACCTCCAGTGGGGAGTCATCTGGGACAGGTGCTCCTTGCTGTTATCAGCACAAGAGCCTGGCTCCGGACTTTCCTGAAAACAGGCCTCAGGGAAACGCACGTGGACCCCTTCGCAGAGCGATTGCTATAACACAGGCTCCAACAGCAGCTGACTCCAGCCCCGCCCGCAGAGCAGGCCACGGTGGGGGCTGGGCGCCCTCTGCTGGCCCAACTGCTCCACTCAGGCTCAGACCACAGACCCAGCACACCCAGGCTTCGGGAACCTCCATCTCCAGTGCACTGGCAGCGTGAGTATCCTGGAGCTGTAGGCCTGGGCTCCCACCCCACCCGGGGCCCACGTCCATCAGGGGTTCAGGCAGGGTTTCTCGGGTGGGCTCCTGCGCCAGCAACAACAGAAGGCCAAGTAAGAGGCCCTGAGCAGAGGAAGCTCAAGGTTGAGAACTCATATTGATCTGGTGCCCCCGTGTGCCAGGCACTGCTGAGGATGGGGCAGACAGCCCTGTAACTTTAGTAAGCTTGTGGGTGTCTGCACTGCTGGCACACCCAAGAGCCTGCACAACCTCCACTGCAGTGCCCCTCCTGGGGCCACTTTTACTCCATGGTCAGCAAATCAGTACATGTTTATATTAAAACACATACGCCCTTTTAAGTAGATACAAAATGCTCATTAATTCTTTGAGTTAAATCATGAAACATCAAAGAGACTTCAGGCTTGGGGTATGTCACTGTGGGCTCCATCCTGAGATCCCATGGGGAATAAAGGAGTTCTTTGCCCTTGCAGGCACTTTCAAATGTTTGACAAGCCCCTGCACCCACACACTCCACAGGGAGTGGGCATCACTGACTAGGAAAAAGTGGCACTAGTGTGATGCATGGAGGTGTTAAAACATCCTCACATACACCTCACATGTAAGGCCAGCCCTCTCCACAGAACCACGTGGGCTGGGCTGAAGCCCAAGGTTCCCAGAATGCTCCCTCCTTCGTGCCCGGCAACATCAAGCTCAAATACTCTCCTCTTCTGCTCCTGTCCCTGAAAATGTGGGTGCATTGAGCCCCATCCTGGGTCAAGTCAAACTACCAGGAGCTGCAAAGCGCCCTGCAAAGCAGAGCCACTCTCAGAGCAATGCAGGTCCAGAATCACCCCTGACATCACACGTTGCTTCTCACCAAGAGTCGGCCACAGAAGCAATCAAATGAAAAACAGCATTGCTATTCTAGACGCTTCCCATGACATTGTTGAATGTCCCTTAAAATCGTGTGGCTGGGCGTGGGGGTTCATGCCTGTAATCCCAGCACTTTGGGAGGCTGAGGCAGGAGGATTGCTTGAGCCCAGTTTGAGGAGTTTGAGACCAGCCTGGACAACATAACAAGACACTATGTCTACCAAAAATAAAAATAAAAAACAAAAAGCTGGGCATGGTGGCGTGTGCCTGTAGTCCTAGATACTTAGGAGGCTGAGGCAGGAGGACTGCTTGAGCTCAGGAGTTCCAGGCTGCAGTGAGCTATGATCACACCACTGCACTCCAGTCTGGGGAACAGAGTGAGATCCTATCTCTTAAAAAAAACATTTGTGCTGTAAATTTCTCTTAAAATTTAGTGTCTCTTTCAACAGGTCACCAGAAAGATGCAACTTGTTTCCCTTTTTATCTTGGCTGCTAGGAGACTCCACGCTAGCCCCGTGTCACTCCCCGCTGTACTGCGGGGTCTAGTTCATTTCACCTTTGTCCTAATAATCCTGTACCTGTGTCTCTTGGTCTCCAGCTGCAGGTCCTTTTCACAAGAGGCCAAATGGTAAATAATAAGTGAATGAGTGTGTGATCTCAACCCTCTTGAAATTCTCTCCTCCCTTAGCTCCTGTGACTCTGTAGACATCCAGTTCTCTCCTTTCTGCCTCAGCTACAGACTCCTCTTTCTCCCCAAGAGTCTTGAACCCCTGGCATCCTCAGGATTTCCTTCTGAGCCCTTCTCTCTGCTTTCCACATCTGTTCTCTGAACAACTTCATCCACTCCCAGATTGTTAGTATCACCTGCAAGTTGATGACACCGTAGCCTGCATTTCAGGCCTGAGCCTGTACTGAGCTCCAGCCTCATGTATCCATTCACAGGGCGGACACTTCACACTCCACATGCCCCCTGGATCTGCTCCTCTATCATATTCTTTATTTCAGTTGGAGGAAACAGTCAGCAAATGTGGTGCATGTTACCCCGTAAACATTTTCAACGCTCCCTGTCCCTTCCATACCAAGCGCAATGGCCTGCTCCAAGCCCTTGCTTTGGGAATGACCATATTGGCCATGTATCTGGGGTCGCTGACACCTGTTTTGTTCCTTCCAATCCAATGCCATGCTCACAGCAGATTGGCTGGTTAAAGGCAAAAGGGCCCATGTCACTCTCCTGCTTAAAACTCTCCTTGGCTGAAGGTTAAGTCCAGGCTCCCGCACACCCTCCACAATCTGGATCCCGCCTGTCGCTCACCTTCATCTTCCCCACTTCCTCCCAGGACCACACTCAACTGCGCAGAGTTCCCCACTCAACATCCTGCTTCCAGCCTCCGTGCCTTTGCTCAGGCTGCGTCATCTGCCAGGACACCCTTCTCGCCTCTTCTGCGGAGCCCCACCTGCTCCTCAAAACACAGCTCAACCACCACCTCTTCCAAGAAGTTTCCCCAGGGTGACTTAGGTGCCCCTTCTCTATACCCCCAGAGCCCCCCATGTGCTCCTGTCCCCATCTGTATCTGTCTCTTTAGAGGTCTGCCTCTCCATGGACTGCGAGCGTCTGATTCACTCCGTGTCCCTTCTGTCTAGCACGGTCTGGTACTCCAGGCCCTGAGCAAGCAACAGACAGAGAAGCACCTGCTCCGGAAGCTACTTGAACCCTGGTGGGCAGGTGTGTCTGCCCGCCCGGACCCCGGGCACCCTCGAAACATCCTGGCCAGAGCCTCCGGCTCACCAAGAACTGGACGACATCCTCGGGCCTGTGCTTGGCCGACTTGAACGCAGCCAGGCGGGTCACCACCAGGATCTGGTACTCCACGTGTCCAGACATCATCTTGCCCCGCACCTCCTGGTGCTGAGGCACAGTCAGGTCGAGGCCAGTGTGGGCATTCTGAAGTCGCCTGCCAGAGGAAAAGAAGGCAGGTGGGGTTCAGGGTCAAGGCAGCGGGCTTCCTGAGCAAAGTGTGGGTAGGGCCTCCGGGTGCCTGACAGGCCTGGGTGCCAGGCGACTGCTGGCTGTCCTCGGTGGTCACTGTTCCAGGCCACTCATCCTGCCACACCAGCCCCTCATAAGACTGGCTTCCCAGGCCTCGGGCCTGGTCCTGCCTTTGGGTTGCTCAGGGACAAAGCAGGAAACGGGAAAGGATGGGGCTTGTTGAAAGGGATCGACACAAACTCTGGGCAGACTGGGTGGAAGCAGCATCCCAGTGTCTGTACTCAGACCAAGGAACATGCCTGGGGTTGCAGAGACAACAAGGGACTGAAATCCCAGCTGGAGACAGGCACCTCTCTTTGGCTAATGGGCAGGAGGGCTGCTATAGGCCCCCTGGGGCAGGGGACAGGGGATGGGCACTGGAGGCAGGGCCCTTGTGACCCCCCCGTGGCCCAGAGAGGCAGTGACAGGCCTGTCCCTCATGTGGGCAGTGGATGCTGCCCCTCGAGGTGTAGAGAGGATGCATCGGCAAAACATCACCACTCTTGGAGACTTGTAAAATGCAATTCGAATATACTGAATTGTATGACGAGCAAAGAAATGATGAGATGTTTTCCTTGAAGTGGAAAAAGTTATTAAATACATCCCTCATCCTACGTAAGGTGAGACACAGACCTGTGCAGACTAACGTCCCTCACGCAAACGCCTCTGGCAGGACATGCCAGGCACCCTCTGAGCAGCTCTGACCATCAAGGTGAGACCTCCTGTGTGCCGGGCAGGACCCTGAAAACACAGGAGGGGCTTCTGGGAGCTTAACCTGTGTCTGGGGCAAGGCCCCTCCCTCTCTGGAATTATACCCCAATCCATCAAATCCCCCCGGCCTGAGCACTCCTCCCACATAGACCCCTCACATCCCACGTTAGGCCACGTGGTCACCAGCACGACGCTGCTGTCACCAACTGATGAAGCCTACAGTGATGCGCCTCCTATGCCGTGTGTGCCACCCAGTGACTGTGTGCTGTACACACAAGGAATATCCTTCCGCAGTGTAGGGCACCCCAGGAAACCTGCCTTCAGGTGGTGAAAAGTGGGTGAGGGCCGAATGGGCACTGGGAGGTGCACATGTACAGCCAGCCCTCTGCCAATGGCACTGAGTTCACGCGGTGTGCACTCGCGGCCTGGTGTCGCCCACGGTGTCACTGTCACCAGTGTGGAGGAGGAAGGTGAGGCTGGATGCTGCGGGGAGATGCGCTGGGCTCTAGGAATGTACCTTTGTGAAGTCACTTCCGCTTCCTGCAGCCCTGCGAAGGAGCTCTGCTACTCAGACCCACTTAAAAGACAGGGAAACAGACCCTAACGGGAAAGAGGCTGCCCAGGTCTCACCCGGCATGAGGTGGAGCTGCGTTCAATTCCAGACAGCTGCTCCAGAGCCCAGGTGGCCTCTCATGGGGCAGGCATGAGAAAGAAGCCAGGCATCATTTCTTTAGGATCATGATGAAAACGAGGCACACAGGGGTGAAAGTGACAAGAAGGGCGGTGCCTGAGCTGGGGGGAGGTCCTCTCAGGGGTAGGAAGGGGATGGAGCAGATCCAGATGGGCATCTCCCACCATCCAGCTCCCTCACAGCACCCCACATCCAATGGTTCTCTGACCACGCCAGAACCCACATTCCATAACCCCACCCCTTTTCCAGGGTCCCATTCCATTGGTGGAATCCCTCTGCCTCAGGCCCAGCTCCTCTGACTTCTTACCCAGGGCTGAGCTGGCCTGGTCAAAGCCCACTTCTCCAGTTCTCTGCTTCCTTCACCCTGTGCCCAGGTGGCTCAACGTGACTGGGCACAGACATGGTGCAAACATGCAGCCTGGTCCCATTGAAATTCACGGCTGCAGACTTGAAGGCACAGCACCGCACCAGGCTTGGCAACCCTACCTCGCCCTAGATGTGGGGTTCTCAAAGTGTGGTCCCTGGATCAGGATCAACATCGCCTGGGAACTTGTAAGAAAGGCATGTTTGGGCCTAGGGTGGCCAGCAATCTTGTTTTTTCAGTAAGCCCTCCAGCGACTCTGATGCACCTGGGCCTACTCCGTCACCCTCCCACTTCCCTGAATCCACAGGAAAACTCTTTCTCTGCAGGGCCAGGTAGCAAATATTTCAGGCTATGCAGGGTATCTGGTCTCCGCTGCAGCTGCTACGGAGAGTACATAAACAAATGGGGGTATGGTGGGCAGGATGTACCCTACACCAAGCTTCTCCAACTGTAATGTGTGTGCAACCCCCTGAGGATCCTGTTAATATGCAGATTCTGGTTCTGCAGGCCCGGGGTGGGCCTGAGAGTCATCATCTCTAGTAAATTCCCAAGTGATGTGGACACTGTTGTGTGCTGCTCCAGAGACCATCAGAGAACATCCTGGGCTTCACTGTCACATGTGCCCATCAGCCTGCAGCTGCTCCCTGATAGCTGCCCTCTCCTGGGACTGTAGACAAACTGGCTGGCTGCTCCTAAGGGCAGCGGCTCCGAGCCCCTCCCACCTACTCAAGGACATAGCTGCTGCAGCTCACCCCTCTTTTCCGCACCATCGATTTTCCTTCCTTACTGGCCCACTCGTTAGCATGCAACCACGCTCTGACCGCTCAGGTAACAAAAGCTGTGCTTTGACCTGACATTCCCCTTGCTCCATTTCCCTCCTGCCCTTTCCAGCAGAACTTCTCAACAGAGGGCCCCATATTCATGGGTTCCTCTCCTCCTGTTTGATTTTGAACCTGTTCCAGCCAGACTTTGGTCCTCATCATGCAACAAACTGCCCACGTCCGGGTCACCTGTGACCTCCGTGTTGTTAAATCCAAAGGTGAGTCCTCATTTCTCCTCTGGTCTCACTTGTCAGCAGCAGCGGGCACAGTCAGCCGCTCCCTCCTTCAAGCTCTGCCTTCTCTGGCGGCTGCAGCGCCCCTTCCCTCTTGCTTCTTCTCTGCCCACCCTGGCCACTGTTGCTCAAACAGGAGGAGAGGAACTGCTTTGGATGGTTTCCCTTGATGGCATCCAGAGCACCCTCCTTAGATCTTCTTCCTCTCACTGTACCCCTCCCCAGGTGATCTCATCCAGGCTCCAGGCTTTAAATACCGTTTCCGAGCCAATGGCTCCCCAACTCCCATCTTTAGCCCACTCTCCCCTCACGGCCAGCCCCCTTCCAGCTACCTGCCTGACATTCCCACTGGGCTGTCAACGAGCTTCTCAAACTCCCCTGTCCACACCAATGCTGCTCCCACCTCTCCCCAAGCCTGCTAAATGGCAGCCTCATTCTTTCAGCATCTTAGGCTGAGAGACTTGCTGTGAGTCTTGACTTCTCTTTCTTGTTCTCATATCCAAGCAACAGCAAACCTGAAAGCTCAATCTTCAAAATATATCCACAACCCAAACATTTCTCACCCTCATGGCCACCATCACCCTGGGCCAAGCTACCACTGGCTCTATGTGGAATCCTACGAGCAATCCTGCTCAGCATAGCGGTCAAAGGATCTCTATAAACCATAAGTTGGGTCCTATTGCACTTGAAATAAAACCCGATGGCCCCTCCACAGCCTTCAAGCCCTTTCCTGATGATCCCTCACTCCCAAGTTTGCCTCTTCACCCCATCACCTAACACTCTCCCTGGGCTCACTCCACTCCAGCCATACCAGCCTCGGGATCCTGCTGTCCTGTCCTCCGAGTACACACTTTTCCAAGATTTCTTTTTCATGGCTGTCTCCCTCAGGGAGCTTGTCAGGCATCCGCCCAGGGGCCACTCCATCAGAAAGACAGCCCTTGACCACACCATAGAAAATAGCATGCGTGCCTCCTACCACTCTGTTGCCCCCACTGTTTTGTTTTCCTTCTTAACATGTATCATCCCTGACATGTAGATTTGCCTATTGTGCCTGTGCCCCCATTAAAGCTCTCTGAGAGGGACTTGTTTGTCTCCTAGAACTTGGGCCAGTACCCGGTACAGAGGAGGCTCTCAATAAACACCTGCTGGTTGAATTCAAGCTTGAGTGCATGTGGCAATGACAGGTGGGAGGAGGCTGCACTGGAAAGAGGTGCTGGGGTGTGACTGGGAAGGGCCGGCCTTGCTGCTGGGCTAAGGTGTTTGAACTCACCCTGCAGGCAAGATCCTTGGGTGTGCTGGTGCCCTCAGCAAGAAATGAGCACGACTCATGTGGCCTTACCACCGCCAGCGCCCCCACGCCTGTTAACAAGATATGTCCAGGCTGTGCAGCTGGGCAGGGAGGGAAGCCACCCACCCCTTCCCAGCACCCAACACCAAAGTCACACCCCATCCATCTGCATGTGGCCGACGGGCATATACTTCTGACGTTGCCCATGCCTGCCAATCTCAAACCTCCAATTCACAAAAAAGGAAACTGAGGCTTGGTGAGAGGAGGTGACGTAAGCGGCAGTAGGGCAACCTCTTCTGCCCATGAAGATACATCTGTAACCACACTTGATCATGCAAGACCAGGCAGGCTCCGACATCAGGGTTTACAAAAGGAATCATACCTTTCTAGACCTTAAGTCACAGGGAATTCCTGATTACAACTGGAAGATCAACAGTTGGCTGGGTAACACGTTCATTTATGTCATAAATAGTCTTAGGCATCTTAGCCTAAGACTTTGTGTAGGGAGAGCAAGGGTGAAGTGTATGAAAATATTTGAAGTAAGTCACTTTACAGCGTTTTAAAGGCGGAAAGAAGTAAAAGCCTTGCCAGGATCCATCCTAGGCTGGGTCCTCTAGGCCTCGATCAGGAGCGATCCACTCTGCATCCTCCACCTGGACCCCTCCGAGGCCTTTTCTGTAACTTGCGCTTTCCTGAGCTGCCTCGCAAGCAGCGACCACCTCTCCCTGGTCTCTCATCAAAGTCATCCTCCCAGAAACCGGGTTCCTGCCCTGTACTGTGTTCCCATGGCAACCTGAGCTTACTACCCGCTGCTGGCATCACCCCCTCTCCACCGCAGCCCCCTGCCGGGCGAGCCTGTCTGATTCACCCCGGTCCCCGGTGCCCAGCACGGGGCCTGGGACGCAGGGAGCGCTGAAAGGATGGAGAAGTAGGTTTTCGGGCCCAAAAGAGAAGAACCCAAGCCGATAGGAAAGAAGAGCAGAGTCCCCACTGCGCCCGCCTGCACTGAGCCAGTCAGTCCCAGGCCTCCCGCAGTCTTTGGCGAGTTCTCTACCCTCTAGAGGGCCTCAGTTTCCTCATCCGTAAATCGGGGGCGCCACCTCTCCTGCAGGACGGTGCAGGGGCCCAGCCAGGATAAGCCACTGAGGGCGCTGGGGAGACCTGCTCCGGGTCCCGGGCCTGGGAGGCGGCCGCCTCCCCCTGCCTCTCCGCCCGGGCGCCCCGGACTGCGAGCTGCGCGGCGTGGGGCACGGGGGTCTGGCTCACCTGGAGGTGACGAGCACCGCCGGGGAATGCATAACGGCCGCGGGGGCTCAGGGCGGGGCGCGCAGTCACGGGACACGGCGGTGCCCGCGTCACCGCGTCCCCGCCCCGCCTCCCGCCGCCCTGGCCCGCCCCCCGGCGGCCGCGGCCGCGCAGTTCGCGCCTGTGGCCAGAGGCAGCGGGGCGAGAGCGCGGCGGGGCGGGAGCGCGGCGGGGCGGGAGCGCGGCGGGGCGGGAGCGCGGCGGGGCGGGAGCGCGGCGGGGCGGCGCGGGCGGGTCCTGCACTGTCGCGGTCGGTCTGCGCAGTTCGGAGCTTCCGGAGTTCCCGGGCTGAGCCGCGCCCGCCGCAACCACCTAGAAGAAGCCCAGCCTGGCCCTGGCACGCGGTGAACCTTTATCGGTGTGTCTGTTTTGCGCTAAAGTTTAGCCGCTAGAGTGACGGGACTCTGCTGTTTCCGCCGCCGGTCCCCATTACAAATGCACTCCCCCTCTCCCCAAAGAACATTTCATTCAACCGATTGGTCAACAAATATTTACCAAGCCGGGGATCTGTCCAGGCCTCGTGGGGTCTTCTTCAAGCTGCACAGTGAACGCCACGCAGCAGCCCAGTACCCCTTGAGCTTGCTGCCTCCAGCTAGCTCTCCTCTCTCCTTCCTACTGCCTGCCGGCTCCATAACTGACGGGCACTCTCCCGACAGAGGATCTTCAGAGAGCCACCCTCTGCTGCTTGGCAGAGCCCTGGTGGAGGCCTCCTGGGGCCAGGCCTGCCTGGGATGGCTGCACTTGGGTTCCCAGCTGGAGCAGGGCAATGGGGTCCAGGAGCCAGTTCCCCTCAGAAGGGGAACGTACAGACATGCAGACCCTAACAGACCCTCTCATTTTAGATTCACGTCTCCGTGGTGTGAGAAACAGAGATCGTATCACCTGCCAGCGTAGCCCAGGGAAAGAAAAGCTGAGTCTGCAAACAGGGCCAGCAGAAGGTGCAAACTGCTGCCCCTATTCTGTTACTGTCTCCACCCAGAGCCCCAGTGACAAAAAGCAAGAGAAGCTGAGCTTAACCATACCAGAATTCACGGCAGGGCGATGTCAGCCCTGTTTCCGAGCCTGTCGACCACCGCCACCAGCATCACCACCATCTACCTGTAGTTACAGATTTTAGTGAAGAGATCCTACAGTAAAAGATTTTGAAAAATGACTTTCCCCAATGTGTCTCTTGAATAAATACGGATATTCCTGTGCCTTATTATTTGTTTCAAATTTGTTTATAGGCAAGATGAGCAATCATGAATGAAGTATGACAATGAAGGAAAGTTCTGAGGGAGACCCTTGAAGGCTACAGCGAAGAGCTGGGATGATGGCGGGAAGCCCTGTCTGCTCTGCTGCTCATCGGCCTGTGTGTCTGCAGGGCAGTGTTCGGGGCTGCAAATGGTCCTCCGTGTTGTGTTTACATTGGCATGCCCCACTTTAGAGAAAGGGAGTTCAGCGTCTGGACAGAAAACAGTAAAGGCGTCAGCATTCCAGGAGTCTGAGCGTAGTGCCAGGCAGTCCAGCAGTCACCATTGCACATACGTTTATCCAGCAGACAGAAACACACTGAATAAGACACTTTAGCTGCCTTCAATGGACTTCCTTGCCTTTCTATGTGGGGAGCAGGTGGGGGTCTGGAAAGGCTTTCTGAAGGAGCCAAAGTCCAAGGTAAAACCTGAAGAAATATGGATAGAATAGAATAGAAGGAATGTCACAAGCAAAGCCCTAGAGACAGCATAGGAACACCAGGGAACGGGGGAAGAGGCCAGCAGGAGCCAGGGTGTGGACAGCCTAGTGCACCAAGGCCAGGGCTTTGCCTGATCCTGAGGCCAACCCAGCGCCATCAGAGGGTCAGGGACATAGGAGTGACCGGGCCAGCTAGGCCGTAGGCAGGGGTTCGGAGCATGTTGAAGGTATGAAGATGTGTTGGACTGCAGAACAATCCAGACAGGAGACAATGGTCCCATGAACTAGGGTGATGGCCACCCAGGTGGAGAAGAGGGGACAGGTGAGAGGACCTTAGCAGAAGGAGTTGGTCAAGACTCGGGAATCCAATGGTTGAGGGCGGGAACAGATAAGATGCCACCGTGGTTTGGCTCTTGTGAGCGGCTGGACATTGGTATCATTCTCTGTGGCAGGGCACCTGGAGAAGGAGCATATTTTTGGTGAGATGATGCGTTTTGTTTCAGACAGGCAGTGTTTGAAGGGCTGGGCCTATTGATACGATTGGATCTATGGCCCTGGGCCTCAGGAAGCCGACCTGGGCTGGAGACTGACATAGGAGTCATGGGTAGAAAGGAGGCTATTGAGCCTGAGAGTTGAGGTGAGCCCACCGAGGAGGGTCTACGATCCAGAGGTATGCAGGGGGGGTGGGGTGGGTGCAGAGAAGGGGACTCCCCATCATTGTGGGAGCTGGTAGCATGTCTGTCACCAATGCCTTGTAAGCAAATGAGAGGGCCTCACCCATGCCCCTGGGGTTGCTCAGGAAGACTTGGCCTCAGGAAGGCCTGACTTGTGCACCTCAGGAAGACTTGGCCCACCTGTCAAGAATGCAACTGGTTTCCCATGAAAGAACGACCCCATCCCCGACAGCAATCCCATTTTCTGCCTCTGTGGGTCCCACGTGCCCGTCTATGGCTCCAGCACATAATTGTATACAATGCAAGGAATGTGGGATCTAAATCTGATATTTTCTGCTTCCTGTTTAATTCAAGGAGCCCCTTCCATGGCTGAAGCTGCGGTAACACAAACCACATTGCAAAGGATTTTCTATTTCTCTCTTTCCCGCTGCCCTGGGAGGAACATTCCAGGCCTCAGTCTCCACCCAGGAAGTCGCTGGGCCTCGGGACACTGCGGTCAGTGAGAGACACTCACAGCCTGCAGGGGGCGCTCTGAACTCTGGCTGAGCCACGCACCAACATTTCCCACGGTGGCTCGGGTCTTCTGGGACCTTATAATTTGTCTCTGTTCCCTAATGTGATACTTTAGAGCTTCAGGGTCTGGGCACCTCCACATGGAGCAGGGCCACCACCTTGCTTGTCACTTAGCAAACACTCATGGGTACAGCTCTAGGCCTGTTAACTCCCCAGGCCTCGGGGCTGCAGAGCCTTATCCTGTGGGGCTCACAGAGCACTGCAGGGGCTCACAGGCTACTCTAGGACAGCTGGAGATTTCAACAAGGATGCACGCCTAGGGTACTATGGTGCACAGAGGAGGGCATATAACTAACTCAGCCAGGGATTGGGCATACAAAGAAGTCTACCAGGACGAGGTGATGGCAGACCTGGGTCGTAAAAAGTAGGTATTATTTTGTTGAGACTTGATTTTCTCACTGGTGAAATGGACATAACAGAAACCTTTAAATCATAACATTGCTTTGAATTACATGAGGTGAAATGAGACTGAAACAAGATGAAATGTATGGCAGGCATTGGAGATGAGCTAACTGGAAGCCATTCACAACCCCCTTCTTCCTGATTTTTATTACCATAGAGGTAATAAAATAGAGAAGTAAATAGAGAAAAACATAATAGAGAAGTAAAACACACATGTCCCATTTCAGTTACAAGGGGCCATGTGACATAACTGACCACATATACTTAAGTTCCTGTGGAGGATTTATTTTGCTAGGAGAAAACCTTTTGCTCCTTCCTTGTCTTCTACCTGGGAAGGGGATACAGTGCTGGAGACACAGCAGCCATCATGGGAGCAGGAGGCACAGACATGAGTCTGGAGTCTACCACGTTAAGGATGAACGAGCCTGGGGAGCTGATGGCATATGAACTTGCATACCAGTCCTGGACTTTTTCTACAAAGTTCTCCTTGCACAAATGCCTAAACCACTCTAAGTGGGGGTTTTCTGCAGTGGATTTCCTGGTGGTATAGTTGTAAAGCACTTATATAATGCCTGATATATAAACTGCTCCATAGGAGATGCAGGGATGACTGAGGAGGAGGAAGAAAAGGGGTAAAGTGTGTACTAGGAAGCACACTCAAAGGCAGTGTGTCTTCTTTTTTTTTTTTTTGAGACAGGGTCTCACTCTGTTGCAGTGGCATGATCACGGCTCACTGAGCCTCAACCTCCTTGGGTTCAGGTGATCCTCCCACCTCAACCTTCCAAGTAGCTGGGATCACAGGCATGTGCCACCATGCCCAGCTAATTTTTGTAGAAACGAGGTTTCCCTATGTTGCCCAGACTGTCCTTGAACTCCTGGGCTCAAGCAATCCACCCGCCTGAGCCTCCCAAAGTGCTGGGATTACAGGCGTGAGCCACTGTGCTCAGCCTAGTATGTCTTAATAGAACCAGAGCATATTTGAGGAGCTGGTGAGAAGAACATGTGGAGGGATTGCTGGGGGAGGAGGCAGCAGAGGCCAGGAGGAGCCTGTGTTCCCGCAGCATAGAGGGCCTTGTGTGCTATGCAAAGGAGCTCACGTCTTATCCTGAAGAAGGAGGGAGTGGGCTCATAGAACAAAAGGAAAAGAGTGTTTCAGGAAGAGACCGGGGTGTAATCAGCAATGCCAAACGCTGCTGAACATCCAGGAAGATAAGGAGGTGTTCAAGAAAAACAAACAAACAAAACCCCACAGAACTAAAGCAGATTTTATTTGGAACTACTGAAATAGGGGTAAGAGACCCCAGCATAGAACTGGGCTAAATTCCGAATGCAGCATGAGAAAGTAGGAATTTATAGCCAAGGAACAGGGTGGGAGTGGTGGCTGGAACATTACTAAGAGGAGGATGGGGGACTCTGGCTATGCCGACCTAACAGGATTCTTGCTGAAGATGGGCAGGATGGTCAGACATCACCTGGGGATGGTGGAGGAAGAGGAACCCAGTTGGATATCGAGGGTGATCAGATAGGCAGAGTGAGAGGATATTGGTAACCTGACTTAACCACCAGGTTCTTCCTAAAAGTGGATTTTACAAGGAAGTGCATGCATAGGTCTAAGAGACAGTTCAGGAGCTTAAAGCTCAGTTTGGTCAAGAAGAGAATCTTTGTAGAGAGAAAAGTCTTCTCTGGCTTCGAGGAGGGCAGGGTCCCAGTGGGTGGAGAAGGGGACAGGAGGTGGGAAGGGGAGAAGGGAGTGGGGACCCCTCTTCCAGATGGGGGCATGCAGATGATTTTTAGAAGCATTCTATAGAAATAATTCATGCTCATAGTACAAAAGCTGGAAAATAGGGATAGTAAGATAAAAAAGTAAAAATTGCCTCTCATTCTATACCAGATATAACAACTGTGCTAATTTTTTGTTCCTTCTCTCCTGACATTTTTTTCTATGCCTATACTTAAGTCTTTTCTTTTAAATAATACAGAATCTTAATAGATATACTATTTTGTAACTTGCTTTTTCATTTACCATCCTGTAAACATCTTTCCATGTAAAATTACCTCCAAAACCATAATTTTAAATGGCTCCTTAGAACCGCATATGCGGATGGAGAATAACCGACTTCTCTGATCCTTAAGCTCCGTACATGTGATGGAAAGCTGGTGCGTGGGAGGAGTACTGAGCGGGGTGGATGATCTTTGAAGTGCTGGCTGGTGTTTAGGCCGGATCCCTAGGAAGAAGGCTTGGGAGAAAAGTGCTCACTTTTTTGGGAAACTTGTTTCTTGAGTCTTTCACTGTGCATTGTTATGTTGAACAGCAGAGGAGATTGGAAGATTGGGAGAAAGGAGACAGAGCTTCATTGCTTTGCATTATAAAGGAATTTGGGAGGCATTGTCTGCCTGCAATGCAGCTCCTGAGCTCTGGGAGGTGGCTGGGCTAATGGAGGGCGCACAGGGTCCAGCCACCTGGAGGAGGCCCAGGGCGGGCCAGCTAAGGCTGCAGACCTTGGTGGGTGGCATGGTGGCATTTAGTGACTCCCTTGAGTCCTGCTCTGCTCTGTCCAAGACGCCCCACCTCAAACCTTCAGGGCCTACTATGCACCCTGATCTCGGGGAAATGGTATCTAGTACTAAGTGCACCACAGTCCTGGAAGTGCCTAGTCCACAGGAGTCAGGAAGCTTGGACTGACTGTGCAAGCGAGGCTCTAGGGATCCTCAGGAATCTTTGCCTGAGGCACAGCAAATCCAGTTATTTTGTTTAGATACTGTAGAAAGCCCCAGAACTTGGAAGCACAGAGACTTGATGCATTAGATGGGTTTACATCTGCACTCTACTAAACTGTGCTCAGGAAAGCTGAATCAGGCACATCTTCCCCAACCCTCGCCA